TCACCGCAATCTCTACTGTCCTTTCTGTCTCTCTTCACAGAAGCCATCAGAAAACAGTAATAAAAAAAAAAAAACACAACTGAGAGTGGGCTGAGAGTGGACTGCTCAGAGGCAAACTAATCTATCTTTACTCTGTATCTGTTGGCCTCGACACTCACTGTTTTTTTTCCTGCTCACACTTTACACAGACTCCCTCTCTCGCTTTTTTCCTCTCTAACTAACACTCTTGTTTTTCCTACACCTCTCAGTGACTTCAAATTTTCTCCCATCTCCCTTGGTGGGATTGTGAGGAGGACAGCTCCACATGTGTTAAAAGATGCAATAACAAAAAAAAGAATTCTTTGTGAGCGTTTCATCTCTGACCTTCAGCCAGCTCTAAGACAGACAACCAGGCAGCAAGACATGCTGCAGGGCTCTTCTCAAGGGACAGTTTCACAGAACAATTGCACATATAACCCCTAACCCTTTCTGATACCCTGGGAAATCCTTGAGTGACAACGACAAAGAGTGATAGGCTGTGAATAATGAATGCCAATTCAGAAGGCAAGCTTTCCACGAGGCAGTAGAAGAATATAGGACTCAAGTGTTTTCTATTTGATTATGAAAAACTGGAGAATGTGTCAAAAGACGCGGTTACACTACAACTGGCTACACTGCAAACAAGGTCAATCATCTAAGCCTCCTTCGTGTAAATACTTTTGGAATATAGCTGGCAAATCTAAAATATTGACTAAATGCTGAGCACAAGAAAACTAATTTCATACCTCACAGATATTTTCCACTTGAAAATGGCGAGAAATCTGTAGCCCGAATTAATCACCATTGAGCCCTTTTGTAACTGAGGCATGACAGCAAGACCTTCAAAGACTCAGGAATGTAAACATGTTTTAAAAAAATCCATCTAGATAGTTCCCTGCTTGAAGCTCAAGTGTGGTGCTGCATGCTAATGTAAGACAGATCTCCTTTTTGTTCTTGAAACCCACGGTGGGTATTTTTAAACCGTGGAAATCATTTGCCAGCAGAGAGGAGATAGTTTCATATTTCTATAAGCTATAGCGGGGCCAAGTGACACATGAATATTTTAAGCAGCTTTGTGCCTATTTAAATGTGTTTGCTGTGAACGTGCTGGCAGTGGGCCAGGGCACAGGGTGTTATCCGTAATTCCTGCAATCCCAAACTAAACTCCGGCACGCTGATAATTCGGGCTGGCGGAAAGCAAAAGCAAATAAAGTCAATTAACTACAAACTCCCCTTGAATTTGTTCTCTCTACCCTTGCTTGTTCTTGACAACCTTGTAATTTTGCCACCATAACACAGTCGAGGGGATGAAAAGAGTGTTAAATTTTCGAAAAGCAATAAAGGACCTTTATCCCGGCACAGCATTGTGGAAGTAGTTAGATAAACATAGCGTTCACCAGAAGGGAATTGTGTCTTTTGTCAGAGGACTGAAAAAAAAAAAAACCCAACTTGATTTCCTTTCCAAAATAAAAAGCAATGTTGTGTTTTAGTCATAAATATTCCCAGACATGTCTGTACTGGGAAAATCTAAACATAAACAGCAAATAAACAAACAAAATGAGCATCTCTGAGTCAACAATGCTTTCAGCAGCAGTTGACAGCCCAGGGACATTCGGCGTCTGCCAGTGCTGTTTGAAGATGGCGGCGATAATGTTATCACTCAACCTCACAGCCGCAGACCAACTACAGTCATCAGAATTAAAGAACTGTCTCCATTTCATTGTTGATTTTTCTTCCATTTCAACTTCTTCCTGGGGCGGTTTTATGAGTTAGACACATGTCTGTAAGTAAAACTCAATTAGCTCTGATGGAATGGCAGATGTGATGACTCATTGTTTGTATAACGGAACATTTGTTATACTAAATATGGTCACGCACATATAGCGCTATTTCCATGGAAGAATGTAATATGAGCTCCTTTAATTGTAGCCCTCCAGTTAGCTGACACATAATGATATATAGACTGAATTTCCACCTCACTGAATTCTAACTGCTCATCTATGACAAATGCAAAAGTTGAACTTTGACAGTAGCAGCATCTTAAAATACTACAGTATTCAAATTATTTCAGGAAGGTCAGATGTTTCTCCAATTTGAATATCTTAAAATTTAAAAGGGAAAATGTTAGCAAGTGAGCCAACCATAATTCAACTTGCAAATACAATATCAAATTCTGTTTTGTGCCAAAACACTAAGCGTCGAGAGTTCATTGCATGTTTAAAGTGGAGCTTTTACAGCTTTTGCTTTAGCCCACAATGTAAGAATAGAAGTGGAGAGAAAACCGAAGTGGCAATTGAAAAAACAACAACATTTTGTTCTGTGTCTCTGAGACCCTTAGCGGTATCAGTAGCTACAAGGTCTCATTCTCCGCTCCCAAAAGGCTAGTGTGAACTAGTTATAAACAGAGAATCTTCTCTCAAGCGTATTTTATTACACCTTGTAAGGGCTGCATCGGGTCCATTTCAGTATCAAAGTAAATTAATTACTTGTAAGATTTATAAACGAGGAACACTGAACACAATAATTCAATTCTGTGTGGAAATTAGCTCAGCATATTTGCCTGCAGCTGGTGGCCAGAACACGTCTTGTTTTTTTCTCTCGGACACTTGTCGCTCTACATGGTGAGACTGATGCTGTGAATACAAAGGGCTGACTATGCTTTAGTGTTACACTGTGTGTGTGTGTGTGTGTGTGTGTGTGTGTGTGTGTGTGTGTGTGTGTTTGTAAAGGTCTCAGCCTGACAGGAGAACAGTGGTTGTACAATGTGAGCCGCCTGTCTGGGCAAAATGGAACTTGGGGCAAGAAGGGAACAGACAGACCCAGGGGAGCTGACCTCCTCATTTAGCCAGCCTCCTGCAGGAGCAGCTGGGATTATCTGCTGAGCAAGCACATCCTGCAGGACAGGAAATGCACGGGAAAGTGGGAACCAATGGGCTCCATTGTCTCTCTAGGCAATTTTGTATTACTTCTCTCTGGCACACGCACTTACACACGCTGGCATACATTTTCTTCTTTTTGATAAAAATCACCCACACACACGACTCTGTCATCGTCTATCTGGCTCTGTTAGAAACTCAGCTCCTTTACAAGCAAACACAGGCAGATAAGCATATCATCGCTTCTAAAGAGAATGAATTACACTACACGAAACGGAGCCATGTTACAACGGAGAGATGTGAAGTGGATGCTACAAGACTGACAGAGACGATGCTGTAGAGACTAAAGCTATTGCAGAAGGCACTGATCGTTGTGCTTCATGTTCAGCAACAGGCCAATGGACCGGGTCGCTGTCCGTGGTCCTGAACAGCCAGCTCAGTGGTGTGTTTGGCTGCTCGTTCAGAACCACGGACAGAGACCCGTATCACCGCCCCCAGCCCCGCAGGCGGAGAGCTTCACCTCCGAGCTAAACATCTCAGTGACATGAATCACCTCCTTATCTCGCACGGTTATGTCTGTCGTGCCAAAGATGCCTTGCAGATCCAGCGTGTGAGAATAGGCGACATATTGGGTATGGCGAGACAACAGTGACTCCAAATCTACCAAAATATAAAAAAGACACAACCCCGCGATATCAATTGCAAGAATTAACAATATCTTATCGATAAATCCCGCACTGTTTCTCCCAGGAATTCACTCATTATTTGCCGGGGTGCCAACTTTCGTGTCAAATACTAGCGTGCAGGGACTTTTGCAGCCCCCCCTCACCCACCCACCCAAAAGGATTGCCGAGTAGACGCCCGGCGTCTGTCAGACAACGTGTGAGACGGGAAATCGCTCATCGGGGCTGTGGATGCAGCAGGAAGACAAGCACATCCCGTTGCCATAGCGCCAGCTCTTGCGGACGCGGCCTGACTCTTAAACAGGACCCTCGGGGGAATTGGGGATTGTAAGGATGTGTTGTCAACACTTGATGACATCCGCTCTCGGGAGGGGGGGGTGCTCCCCTGTCACTCCAAGATGTTCTCTGTACATTCAACAGAGAGCGGGCGAAACACAGCCACTCACGGATCTAATTAAGCAGGAGACGAAACCCGCAAGAGACTGTGATTTCAACAACAATGCGCTGTAGTGGCAACTATTGAAGAAGTGCTCTGATAATCAACATTAATGATATCATTCTTCTGTCAGGAGATGTTCTGTGGTTCTTCAGGAGGAGTGGCTAATCAGTTTTTAGGCTAATGAGCTTCACTTGAGTACCATCAGTATGAGAGATGAGTCGGTTGGTGCATTTAAACTGTTGTGTGGTCTCACTTGTGTAGCTTTGTGTAACATGACTCAGCCAGTCACCGTGCACCCGGAACTATCAGTTTTCATTTAAAGCCAATAACGGTGTCAATGAGCCAAAAAAACAAAAACACGTGAATTCCCATTGGATAGTAGTTCAGTGGGATTAGGGGATGAAAAGCAGCGCCCGGGGTATTGACTGGCCCTTTGTGACAGATCAGAGTGATTGATCCGCACACGGAGGGGTAATGTTTACATGTTAACATTTACTGCAGAGGACATGTTGGGGTGTCAGCAGTTTAAAAAGGGCCGTGGGAGATACAAGAGAGAATACTGAGGAGATGTGTTTTTGTTGAGTTTCATCAGCTGCCCATATCTGTGAACTGTTGCATAGGAGGACTCCTTTTACCGGTTGATTTTCTTTCAAAGTTACTGTAACACCGGTTTCAAGGTTCACGGAAAAACACCATTCATCCCTGAGGGTGATGCACTCGGTAAAAAACAAAAAGCACCCAAAATAGAGGTAGGAAATATAGATTGTAAAAGACAAACTGTAAACTATAAATGAACAAATATGATTCATTGGAGTGCAGGTAACACTGTTTTGCCAACTCTACACAATTCATTACAAAACTAGGGACAAAATGTCTCCATAAATCTGCTTTTGCATCCGGTAAATGTCAGTTGGCCGTGGTCATACAGGCGGTGCGTGAGATTGGACATCGCTTACAGATGATATCATAAACAAAGATTCTTACCAAATCTTAAAACGTGTGGCATCCCGCGAGAGTAACCAAGAAACAGCAGCAGAAGCGGGATCAGCCTGAGGTTGGACCTGAAAACGAGACTGGTTATCATCAGATGATGGGAGGTAATCTTCATGTTGTTTATAAAAAAATGCACAGTGGTTTAATCCACCCGGTGCGCGGGTTCGATTCCCCCGTAATTCTTCTACGGTCGTTGGGCAAGGCAGGGTGACGGCGGCCCTGGATGCGCAAGATCACGGCATGGTCACTTGCGCTTTCCCTAAATCCATTAGCAGTCCCGGCATGATTCCTTCCCCTTCTCCTCCTTCACTGCGCCAAGAAACAACAATCCTCCGGGTCGAGGGACGGCGGGACATCCATATCGAAGGGTACGGATCCAGTGAGGAGGGGGGAGCCCAAGCATGGGCTATAAGGTGAGGTACCGGAGAGGGTTGGAGAGGGGCTAGAGAGCGCCAAGCAGAGGATACAGCAGCGATATGCAGCCCCCTATGAGGCGCTCTGGGTTGCTTGCGCTCCCATTATACTGCACTGCTGCACAGGCTCTGACGTCGAGCCAAGGTTAGTGTTGTGAACGCGCACCAGAGAGAGAGAGAGAGAGAGAGAGAGAGAGAGAGAGAGAGAGAGAGAGAGAGAGAGAGAGAGGAGGACATGGATATACAGATAGAAGGAGATGAAAAAGAGGGAGGATGGGAGTGTAGAGAGATCGATGGATGGGGGGGGGGGAGTGGGAAACTTTATTTCACACCACCTTCTTCGTTTCCTCCATAACCCCCCCCAAAAAAAGCTCACATGTATTTGAATTTGGAATATTGCACAGAGCAACAGTAACTTCACGGTGAACTAGTTGCAAATTACCTCCAAATCACCTCCATATATGGGTCAATTCACAAAAGCAAAGCCAAGTGTCACGGGTAATTCTATTCAATGATGAAAATAAAGTTACTATCAAATATGGTGATCCTATAATGAAGTGGCATGTCATAAGGGGGCAACTGCAACCTCTATTTAACGCTCTATTTTTATGCTTTTCGCTTGTTTGTTTGCGCATGATCTCTGCTCGTCACCATGGGCAGAGACACAGCAAAGCGGCATGTTGGCCGCAGAAAGCAATGACAGTGTGCAAGTATCTTTCCTGTGTTTGACACATGAAAAATAATGTACACACTGAACCTAACACAACTGGTCCAACATCTGCACACGAGTGATACAATCACATGCCTGCAGAATGCACTGTTTTCTACACCCAAGTAGGATATTGCACGCATGTCCACTTTATTGTTTTTTTCCATTCACAACTTCTCTTTTCTAAACGTCTTTTGCGGGATTTCAAGCATCAACCTTTTTCAACACTATCCAGCGTCATTCCAGGAATGTGGGAGGAGAGGGATGAAAGGAATTAAAATTGGCAGAACAGCAAATCCGTAATATCGACAGAAGCTGCTGAAAGGCACGAATATTTAACCTATGCAAATAACTCCACTTTAGACTTGAAAGCCTTCCAGCAACGGACTATTCTCGAGTGTGAGCCATCCTCCCATGTGAAAGGTTGAGCGCCGCACACAAAAGGGTGCCACTGGTTCCATTTCACGGGGAACGGGCGGGCCGATATGAGACTGTAAAGTAGGCCTATCACGTTTCTATCTGATTAGCGAGTTCAAACGAGGCTCCCGTCCTATATGACTCGTTGGGCCGAGGAGATGGATATCTGCAGCTCTTGCGTGGGCCTTAACATGCTATTGATTTAACACTACATGCACCTTATCAGCGTCCGCCCCCGATGAGCAGCTCTTCATGGGCCAGTGCATCAGCTGGAGGGCGATACATATAGGTATACAGTGGTGCGGGCGGAGGGTAGAGGGCTGTTTAATCCCATCGGAGATGTGAAAGGAGCTCTTTGATCAGCGCCACAAGAGTCCAAAGCCTGAATGAACACCGTCATTGTGTGACTCAAGTGTGAATGGCTGGCCTGTGTGTGTGTGTGTGTGTGTGTGTGTGTGTGGTGTAGAAGTACTCCAAAATAAAGTCAGTGCAATATTCCTGTATGGCCTTTTTGGTTTTATTTAAATAAGGTCTTTCAGGCGACCTTGGTGTGCCTTTATGGTATATTTATCTCCTCTGATGTCAGTAAGTATTACATTGATGCACTGCCTATGTGTTGTTTCTTTATTAGACTGCAAGATAGTGACATTATAAGACAATGTGCGAATAAGCACAGGATACCTGACACCTATACACCCTCTCTTTTATTGGAGCTCTACTCCATCACACACGCGCACACACACACGCACGCACACACACACACACGCACACACACACACACCCACCCACACACCCACCCACACACATTAGCGTATCTGTCAAATCCCAATTGACAAATAAAAGCAAATGCATTAAATAGTTAGAGGGCGCTTGTGTTAAGAAAAAGGAAACTTGGAAGCAATTACACGGGATCAAGTATGTGGTGTGAACGTTGACTTTGAACGTGTGTCAGTTTGCGTGGGTCTGCGCACAAGTACTCTGCAGTGTGAGAATATCAAAGAGAATGGCACTCATCCTGCTACCATCTGGACCATTAGCATAATTATGGAGAAATTCAGGGTTTCCGTGTAAGTCAGCAGAGCTTCACACAGCATGAAAGGAATGCTTATTGAGCTCAGGGAGAAGACATCAACTGACAGGCCATGTTGGTTTCCTCTTATAGTCACAGCGCCCTCTGGCCCAGTAGTAAGGTAGTGCACTAAGAAAAGTCCTCAGGTGCCCCTACACTTAATGCTCCCAAAATTTAATTTGCGGAATAGAATTAAGGCTGCCACAAATGATTATGAGCTGATTTTTCCAATATAAATCTAGATTGTATTGTATGCGTGTGTGCCTGAGCAGAGGTCATTTAAGGACTAAACAATCAGTTAGTCTCCCCTGTAAGTATTCCTAGTTTGTATTGTGTTTTTGTTGATATCTTGATTACCAATTAGAAGTCACGGTTTAACAAACTTTTCACTTCCCCTTAAGCCAGTCATGATGAGATAACTGTGTGTGTAAACCAGTTAGAAAGAGAGGAGGTGATGGGAATGGCAAATTGTCTCATTATGATGGTGAAATGACTCCTGCTCCTTTAGCTCGTTGTGACTAATAGGAAAACACCATTTGGGAGATGTACTCTTTTTTATTCATCCATGATCAAACCGTGTCGTTTTTGAAGGAGACCACAAATTAGATTACTTTATACACACCCACTCGCTTGTAACCCACGGAGGCTTCCACATGAGCTGGCTGGTGTGTTTATTCAGATGCCATTCATGCACTGGGTAATGCAAAGGGGACTTTATGCAAAAGAGAGATAACCACTGCTAAAAGCCTTCTGTCATTCTCTCTCTCTCTCCCCCTCCCTCGCTCACACTCTCTCACAGGCAGACTGGTGGTAAGATAGCATTGGCAAAGGGAAGGAAACCATGGAAACGAGAAGCTGATGCACTTTGAATGGTAAGACCCTGAAAGAGAAGACATTCATTCAGCTCAGTCGCCCTGTACTAAAGGCTCATCTCTACTGCATTATTCTGAATGCTACAAGTTTATTTTAACATGGTTGGCTCCAGAAAGCCAACAATGGTCTCACTTAATCAGTCCATTATGTCAGGATGACTGTAGCAAAAAACGTCTTAACATTTTGTCAAGTTGAAGAAGGGCCGTGTAAAAACACGCACACTTTAGTAGTCACACATACAGAACAATATAACAGCGTTTGTGCCTGCAAATACACCATGCCAAGCGCGCGTCACTTGAGCCTGTAATCATGGCACTTTCAAGTTCAATACATTTCCCACTTGTGGCATTGCTTCAGCGATGCCTTTGAACATAACAGCATGCTAAAGTCAGCCCTGGCCTATATGTCTTGAGCAGTGCTGTCAATGAGATCCCTGGGCCCTCAGTGGGAATACATTCTTCAGAGACGACAATTAGTCAAGTGAGACAGTAATTAGGACCTCTCTGCACACTGTCACTTCCAGTTAGTGCTGACGGATGCCCGCAAATCCCCCCCTCCAGCAACTGCAGTCAGCCAGACTTACTTCTGGGGCTGCGCTCTGACTTTGTTGTGACAGCCATCTATAACTTCTATCTATCATGGCAACACTTTGAAAAAATGGCATGGGAATTTGGTCAGCAGCAGGATGCTTAAGTAATATGGTAAAGTCTACCAGTTATGTGGTCACATACCATCAGGATTGTGAGCAAATTGCCATTGTCACTTTACTTCAGTGGTAATATCATAGTTTATCATGAGCATCTCATTATCTGTAATGAGCAAATTACCAAGCTACAGCGCTGCAGTAGTTACAAGGTCCCACTATATTGTAGAGTTATGGAAAACTACTGCATTACCATACAGGGACATGTGTGTACAAAGACTAATATTACTACTACCTACTCAATCTATCAGTTTATATTTATGCAAAATACATATAGACCTAAATGTCAATATGACTAAGTGTAGTGTGACATATAAAAATAATTATTATAGCTGACTGGATCATCATCTTTCAGATAAAGCAGGAAAAACTTTCTTAGTTCAAGTTAAACTTAAAGTTATAGCTCACCTAACACTGGCAAACAGAAATACCTCTGAAAATGGGTAACAGTCATAAAGTTGGCTGTTTGTAATCATCAGGTAGCCTAGATACTAAACCTAACGCAAGCTAACCTTTTTCATTTCCATCATAACAATACACTTAATGGCGTCCTGAATCAGGGCTAATGCTAAGCTAGCATTTTATAGTCCGATCAAAATATAAATATTGCTGCTAAATCACAATTTGCTTACCAAGATCACTGTAGGGAAATCAGCTCCAGAGCCTCAGAGAACGCTTTCTACTAATTGATGCTTTGAAAAGATTGTAGCAGGAAGACACATCCTGCTCAGGAATCGGCATTGCAAGAGTCTGTCCAATCAGGTTAGTTGTGGGCGGGGCTATGGTCACACCTGGAATGGCCGTACAAACAATATGGTTAGGAGTGACAGCAATAATTGTGGGCAGCATAAAGGTATTTCAAAATAACAGTTTGACACATTTTGAGACATTGTTTGTATCATACATAATAATAATATAATGTGTAAATTACTCCATGTGTCTTTACGTGTTGCTGTGTAGTCTAGTCATGTTAGTGCATCTGCAGTGTATCATGATAATGAAATCAATATTGGTTATTGCCTTGACAATTGCGACCCCTCCACCCCCCTTATAGATGTTTGTAGAGCTGTAATGATACCAATATGGACTTTTTTTCTCATCAGGAAAAGCACAGGTGTAATCAATAACATTATACCACGGCTTTCAGGGGAGCTCATTTTTCTACTGTCGTGTGGGGTATATTTTCAGATGTTTTCTGATATTTTCTGATCTGAAGTTAATGATATTGGGCTTTTACGCTTCAGTGGTGATAGCAAGAACAGCAGTATCCTTTTTAAAGTAAATTAGTGACGAGTCACCCTCGTGCACAAAGCATACATCATTAGTAAGTTTACATATAATCCAAAAATAGAAATGCATGGCAAAAAATAGCATATTGC